GGGGGAAAGAAGAAGGAAAAGAGGAAGAATAAAGAGGGGGAAAGAAGAAAAAAGCAGCAAAAAGAGGGGAAAAAAGAGGAGGAAAAAAGAGGGGAAAAAGAGGAGGAAAAAAGAGGGGAAAAAAGAGGAGGAAAAAAGAGGAGGAAAAAAGAGGAGGAAAAAAGAGGAGGAAAAAAGAGGAGGAAAGAAGAGGAGGAAAAAGAGGAGGAAAGAAGAGGAGGAAAAAGAGGAGGAAAGAAGAGGAGGAAAAAGAGGAGGAAAGAAGAGGAGGAAAAAGAGGAGGAAAGAAGAGGAGGAAAAAGAGGAGGAAAGAAGAGGAGGAAAAAGAGGAGGAAAGAAGAGGAGGAAAAAGAGGAGGAAAGAAGAGGAGGAAAAAGAGGAGGAAAGAAGAGGAGGAAAAAGAGGAGGAAAGAAGAGGAGGAAAAAGAGGAGGAAAGAAGAGGAGGAAAAAGAGGAGGAAAGAAGAGGAGGAAAAAGAGGAGGAAAGAAGAGGAGGAAAAAGAGGAGGAAAGAAGAGGAGGAAAAAGAGGAGGAAAGAAGAGGAGGAAAAAGAGGAGGAAAGAAGAGGAGGAAAAAGAGGAGGAAAGAAGAGGAGGAAAAAGAGGAGGAAAGAAGAGGAGGAAAAAGAGGAGGAAAGAAGAGGAGGAAAAAGAGGAGGAAAGAAGAGGAGGAAAAAGAGGAGGAAAGAAGAGGAGGAAAAAGAGGAGGAAAGAAGAGGAGGAAAAAGAGGAGGAAAGAAGAGGAGGAAAAAGAGGAGGAAAGAAGAGGAGGAAAAAGAGGAGGAAAGAAGAGGAGGAAAAAGAGGAGGAAAGAAGAGGAGGAAAAAGAGGAGGAAAGAAGAGGAGGAAAAAGAGGAGGAAAGAAGAGGAGGAAAAAGAGGAGGAAAGAAGAGGAGGAAAAAGAGGAGGAAAGAAGAGGAGGAAAAAGAGGAGGAAAGAGGAAAGGAAAAACGAGGAGGAAAGAAGAGGAGGAAAAAGAGGAGGCAAAAAGAGGAGGAAAAAAGAGGGAGAAAAAAAGAAGGGAAAAAAAAGAAGAGGAAAAAGAGCTTAAAAAGAGGCAAAAAATCCCCTCCCCAAATCTTCCTCCCTTCTTTTTTATTCTTTTTTTTTTTTTTTCCTCTCTCTCCTTGATTTTTTGAGGGGTTTTTCCTCTTCTTCTCCTCCGCTATGAGTTCCTACGTGGCCAATTCGTTTTATAATCAACCAAATCCTCCCGTTCCTGCTTATTCCATGCAAAGTTATGGAAATTATGGAATTATGCCTGAGGTTGAAGAACACAGGTATCGCTCCAAAGGTTTGGAAGGGAACATCCCCTTGTCCTGTACCTCCCCTCGAGGTTCGGTCACTTCTGCTACCCCCCGAGCTAACCCCGAGCGACCTCCCTGCACTCTCATGGGTTCTTCAGGGCATCCTTTAACCAGAGAGGATGCTCCAACCCTAAATCCTGGGATTTACAGTCAGAAGAGTGGGAACACGCCGCTGGAAGAGAGATCTAAGAGCTCGGCAGAAATCAAAGCTGAGCCAGTGCAAACAGCACAACAAGGAACAACTCAACTCCAGCAGCAGCAACAACAGCAACAACCTCCACAAATTTATCCTTGGATGACCAAACTCCACATGAGCCATGGTAAAACTTTCG